TTTTTTCCAGTGCAGGGGATTGAACTCAGGACCTTGAGCTTTCCAAGCAAACACTTATTGTACTGCACTATCGCCTCTGCCCAATTTCTTTCTTTTTTTTAAGTTGAGAAGGATTTTTTTTTTTTTTTCTGGCTCAGGCTGCCTTAAGGGCGGGTCTGGTATGGAAGGCATGGGGAGCAGGGGATTGAACCGCGGTCACCTGCACCTGACTGGGTTTGCCCCAACAGGTGCTTAAACAGCTGAGCTAACCAGCAAGCTCCCCTGTATATTTTGTTGATAGAGCCTCTATGTCTTTTATTTTTGGTACAGTACAACTTGTTTGTATAATACTGTAATTTTTTCTGGTTATACTGTATAATACTATAGTTTTATGTTCTGTTATACATTATAGTAATGCATGTAAGAGTTAGGTAAATAAAAACAAAATCATCAAGCTGGAGCTTCCTCTGACCATTTCTTGGTTCTGAATCTTGTAATGTACATATTAGGTTCCATTCCTATGTAGTGACCAGTTCATTTAATGACTTAGTTGCTGGAACTCGACTTGATCACCAGATGAGGAGTTTCTTAGTGCCTTGTTGAGCAACCTGAATAAAAGATGAAGGTGGAAGAAAGGCTGAGGTTACTGAATGTGCTGTCCCAGTACAGGCATGTTTTCTAAACTCTTGCATTGGCCCTGCCCCATATTCAGAATCTGTGGCCATTGCTAATTAATTCTTGGGATTAAGTACCCTGGGATCCCTAAAAAGGAGTGAATCAAGAAGGTGGCCCAGAGAATGCATGTGTAGAGAGAGCAAATGTCATGTGCTTGGAGTATATGCCAAGTGGAAAATGAATGTGATGAACTGTAGGGTGTACTGTTCCAGAAAGCAGAGCCAGAACCTATGAGTGATAGGGATGCCAGTGTTGAACTTGATATAAAGAATTACTATAGCAATTAAAATTACCCATATCTGTCTTGAGAGTGTTGAATTTTCTGTCATTGAAAAATTCAGTAGGGCCAGCCAAATAGCTCAGCGGATTAAAGTGCCTGCTTAGGCAGACTCAGGGGCCAGGAGTTTGATCCCTGAGCCTGTCTTGCTGCCTTGCCCCTCGGGTGTGCTGAGACGGCGTTTGAGACTGGGTCTTGTGGCGCGCACCTGTAATCCTAGCACTTGGGAGGCTGTAAACAGGAGGATCACTACAAGTCCAATCTATGCAGTGAGACCCTGTACACCCTGTCCTAAATACAAAAAAAAAAAAAAAAAAAGAAAGAAAAGAAAAGTTCAGTAAAAGCCAGAAGTCAGTGATATGATCAAGGGTTGTTGATATGAAAGGTACCCAAGCCAGGTACAGTGGCATGTGCCTGTAACCTTCACATTCAGGAGGTTGAGGCAGGAGAATTATGAGTTCATGGCCATACATAATAAGACCTATATAATAAGACCTTGTCTCAAAAATAATAACAAAAAAGAGTTACTCTACGATATTATGATTCTAGGCTACTTTTATTAAGTTCTTTCTAAGAACTTAATGTTCCTTACTCCTTTTTAAAATGGTTCCTTGAATACCTGACTTGATAGTTTTCATTCATCTAAATGTATCACTATTTTTTTCAGATATATAAAGCAAGAATTACTTTGTACTGATCCAGAACAGATACACTGAAGGACTTAGTGTGCATATCCATTTGGGCTTTATTGAAATAGTAGGACTAAAGTTTAATATATATCTGCTTTCTCATTATGCTCCAGGCCTTATGATGTGATTCCCTCAGAATTTCAGGGATGGGAGCACATCTCATCCTGCCTCTGCCCATCACCCCTCATGTTTTGGTCACATCAGATATTGCCTTCAGACTTTCTCCCTGCTCACAGCACATGTTGAGTACCCTCTAATTGTTATTGAGACCCATGGTTTATTGCTAGCACTTACAAAGTTGGAAAGGTTTATTTTTTATTTTATGTATTTATTTTATGCATTTAGTACAGGATCTACAAGGTCTCGCTACACAGATCAGACTTGTAGTGATCCTCCTGTTTTCAGCCTCCCAAGTGCTGGGATCACAGGCACGCCACCACGCCCAGTCTCATGCGCAGTCTCAGCTTGCCCTGGGGGTGGGGCCAGCACTCCAGTCCGCTGAGCTATCTGGCCAGCCCTCTGGTGTATTTTTTTCAGAACCAGAGATTGAACTCAGGCCCTTGCACTTGCCAGGGAAGCACTTATTCCACTGAGCCATCACTCTGCCCTCTGGAAAGTTTTATTTATTGCAAAAAGAGGGGCAAAAGAGTTTTTGGGAGCAGGAACTTGGTATGTTCCTTGGATTTCAGGTAATAATGATGTAGTTGCTCATTCACTCATTCAACAAAGGTTTTCTAACCAGGCATGGTGGCATACACCTATAATCTTAGCATTCAGGAGACTGAGGCAGAAGGATCACCATACGTTTGAAGCCAGCCTGGACTCCGTAGTGAGTTCAAGGACAACCTGGACTATATAGTGAGTCTCTCTGTCCCACCAAAAAAGTTTTGTGAATACCACATATTGTCAGGCACTATTAAAATTGCAAAACTGGCAAAAATCTGTGTGTAACATTGGTTTAGGTTAAGGCCTGTGTTATGGTTTGTGTCTAGTTGTCCCCCTAAAGCCTCATGCAGTCATGGGGTGAGGACTTCTAGAGTTTGTGTTAACTCATGATCCACTGGGATTATGTGTTATCCAAGGCTGGGATTATGGGTTTTAGTACTGCTGGGATTACCCATAGGTGGGTAA